GAATGTACAACCCCACCCTCAACAGGGAAGGGGGGCTACGGGTCGATCTTTCCGGCACTTGGGATTTGGCACTCCCAGCCCCGAGGACAGACAACACTTAAGCTCCTGTCCTGTATAACAGGAGCTTTCAGACTAATTTGCATCATCTTGTCTTGACTTGTCTGACTTTTGTTCCTTTTTCGACTTCCAAAAATTTGTCTTCACCTTATTTGCATTCAATCAACAGGTTGTGTATATAAACCTGCTTTCCCCTCTGGTCTCTCAGTCACTGACGAAAGCTAGTGGATACTAGCTGAAACGTCTGACGTTTTCAAAATCATATCCAGTTGCTTGAGTAACTGTTTTTTTGGCATTTCGTATTACCTGGATGTCTAACCTTCATCGACGTAAATAAAAGTATCTTATAGAAGTTTTGAAAAATCCCTGCAGGTAAATCTAACCATGGCGAGAACTTCCAATATTCGTAGCACCCTGATAGCAGTAATTGATTATTACCCTACTAATCTTCTTCTTCTTCTTCCGTTAATGTCCGGCTGCCGTCGCTCCGGCAATTACTGACATTTTTAACGTGTCAGAGGTCACCATATACTAGTATGTGTTTAGGCAAGGTTTGACACCTTCGAGACGAAGGTCGCCAGGGATGGAGACTGTATAATGTCTTCGGGCAAGGAGTTCCAGTCTCTGATCGTTCGAGGGAGGAAGGAGTTGAAGCGGTAGTTTGTACGGCAGGACAGCTGCTGGTACTGCTGACTGTGTCCTCTGCGGCGCCTCGTGTTACTGGCAGGTAGAGGGTTCAGTGAGTCGCAACTCACACAGGCAAGACCATGCTGCATATCTTACCACAAATATTACACGTTAGTGTAAGAATAAGGTGGTTTTAGTTTTCTTTTTTCATGTATCTTGATTTTTCCTATTTCCAGTGTAACTGTGGCCACAGTTATGGTAAGCACGGACAGGCTCCGGAGTCTGACTGCTACTACGGCTGTTCTGGAGGGTCCGGCGGGAAATGTGGTGGAGACTACAGGAACACTGTCTGGGACATCGGCGGTAGGTACTCTTTAACCTCTAGTCTACTAAGGTAGCCCTCTTGGTAGCAAATTTGTATTGGTTATCGAGTTAGGCAGCAGGTAGAAGGTTAAATACTGTGGTAAGTCAGATTAGCATATTGCCTGGGGGTACAAATGTTGTCACTTTATTGCACCAGCAGGAAATTCACTCTTCTCTTACTGGTGAATTAATGAGATAACACCCCTATATGTCTCATTAATTCACCAGAACACTAGAATACAGGTTCCCTTACTTGAGAATTAATGAGATAGCACCCCCTTTCTCATTAATTCATTAGAACTTGTATCAGTAGAGGGAGTAGTCACTGTCCTTTCACTGGTGTATTAATGAGATAACACCCCTACATGTCTCATTAATTCACTAGAAGGCTAAGGGGATTATTCTAATAACCGTACCCTTGTTAGGTAACCAATGACGTTACGGCCTCATAATGGTTTTGAAATAGAGGCTCCTGATTGGTCAATCAGATCTGGCAATATGCTAATGAGACGTAGAGAATGAAGTCTTCCATAGGTACCGGAGACAACGGCGGAACTACAGGCGACAACCTGGAGCTGGTGTTTGAGGACACGTTCGACACCTTTGACACCAGCAAGTGGAGGGCAGAGGTCACCGCGGGGGGTGGTGGGGTACGTACTCTCGTTCCCATGCTAGTTTCTTTCGTCAACATGGCCCAAAACATCTAATTTTGGTACAGTTAGTTCATATACATGTACCTACATATACTCTAAGTACTTAAAGAAAAAAGCAAGGTAGACATCCTAAATCATTTAAATCTGTTTCGATCTCTCTCTCTCTCTCTCTCTCTCTCGTGGTATATTTTACATAAAGAGTAACCATACTGAAATATAATAACGTCTAATTTACATGTTTGTCATTTCCAGAATGAAGAGTTCCAGTATTACATGGCTCATCCCGACAACCTGTACGTCCAGAACGGGAACCTCTACCTCAAACCGGTAACAACTCAACACTTACTTGATATTAAAAACAATACACCCAAGGACTATTTGTAGAACAAATGTATATGTAAGTTCACACACGGCATATCTTCTCCAATAACTCTACAAATACTGTACTAAAGCAAATGATCGTTGACACAACGACCTTTGACGCACCAACATGGCGGACGCAAATTGTGTCATTGCCACGTGACTGCAAATGACCCATCATTTTGTTGTTATCGTCTTTCTTCAGACCCTCGCTTCAGAGCACTATGGAGAAGAGTTCCTGACTTCTGGGTACATCGACTTCTGGCGTAAGTTGCAACAAGAAAGTTACAAAAAAAAATACACCTAGGCGATGCATGGTTGGTTATGCAAGTTAGGATATTATCTTCATTATTTGTACGATTTGCAATACTTCACTACATAAGTTACTTTCATGCTTTGATAGATACATGTATTTGTCCATTTGCAATGATATTGAGTATAAAGAAGTTATTAACACAATATCTGCTTGAAGATAAATAAACCCTGATGTTCCAGACGGTTATAACTACATCGGGTGTTTCAATGATGGCGGAGACCAGGACCTGACGGACAGTCTGCTGACCGCTGCCGACATGAACCCTGGGAAATGTGTGACTCACTGTGCAGATCTGGGGTACGAGTACTTCGGCCTGAAGAATACGGAGTGCCGCTGTGGAAGCAGCTATGGAAGGTTTGTTTTTCTAGAAAATCCTCAACAACCTTTGATTGTGTCTTATGCGTGCCTTTCATATCCAGAATCGTGCCTGGCCCCATGTCCAAAATATAAGGATTAGCACCTGGGGCACTGTCTCCGTGTATCCAAGAACTTACATTTTGTCCCAGAAACGGTCTTAATAAGTGTGGACTATCCAGAACTGTATCTGAGCATGGCTTTGGAAACTGTCCCTGGTACTGAACGCCATTCACACAGACATCGTTGTGTCTGTCCTTGGTGCTGAAAACCGAACACATTCTTATATTTTGTACACCTTTGGTTGTTGTGATGCTCTGGATGTTTAAAGACTTTTTAATTGTCATCTGACAGGTTTGGCCGAGGACACGGGTGCCACATCTCCTGCCCGGGGGATAGCGGCAAGGAATGTGGCGGACACAGCGTCACTTCCGTTTATGGACAGAGTATGTCATTTCCTGTTCCATCTTAGCCTAGAGTCCACCCTCGTTTGCTAGCTTTAGTCTGATCCCAAGAGTGCTTAACTCAGAACAAAGAGATCCCGGGTTCGAGTCCTGACATGCCACCTATTTGTGCCCTTGGGAAAGGCACTTTACACGACTTTCCTCACTTAATTCAAGTGAAAATGAGTATTGTCTGTCCTATGCCACTGAAAATCTTTAGTCTGAAAATTTCCAAAATCTATCCGGTGGCTTGAGTAACTGTTTTCATGTGTATCTCATTACCTGCATGTCTAACCTTCATCGACAGAAATTGTGATGGTTTATAGAGAACTTTGGTCGTGTCCTTTGCAGCATACGGTGACTGCACCCAGGACTTCCCCCAGGGCCGGGCCTGTTTCCTGCAGGGTTCCTCAAACGCCCCTTTGCCGCCCATCCAGTCCGCCAGGGTTACTACTATGGACAGCTTCACTTTCAAGTACGGGAAGGTCGAGGTCTGGGCCAAGGTCCCGACAGGAGACTGGATTTGGCCAGGTCAGTGACAACTACTAAGTGCTAGCCTCCTTTCGGACATTACAGGCATATGTTGTCCAATTGGATGCTCGAAGGTCAGGATATTCCATGTTCTTATAATTGTTTTTATCTGTTCGTTCAGCAATCTGGCTGCTTCCGAAGAACAACGTGTATGGAGGCTGGCCAGCTTCGGGCGAAATTGACATCATGGAATCCAGGGGTAAATTGTAGTAGTAGTAGTAGTAGTAGTAGTAGTAGTAGTAGTAGTAGTAGTAGTAGTAGTAGTAGTAGTAGTAGTAGTCATAGTAGTAGTGGTAATAGTAGTGGGGTAGTGGTAGTAGTAGTAGAAGTAGTAGTAGTAGAAGTAGTAGAAGTAGTAGTAGTAGTAGTAGTAGTAGTAGTAGTAGCTATAGTAGTAGGAGAAGTAGTTGCAGTAGTAGTAGTAGTAGTAGTAGCAGTAGTAGTAGTAGTCATAGTAGCAGTAGTCACCGTTGCCACTTCTCCGTACAGGGAATCGGAACTTGTTTGGAGCCTGGGGTTCCATCGGAGTTGACGACATGGGGTCCACCCTGCACTGGGGACCGAGATGGCCTTACAACGGCTACCATCTGACGACAAACTCAAAGTAAGTGGCACTACGATTCTGAACTTTGTTCCAACACAAGGGTACACACGGATCAAATTTTCAACGACCACTGTCGCCTTCATCAGGATACTTTTTATAGTGTTTGAATGTTCAATACTGAGTGATTCACTTCTATTCACAGGCACGCAAAGTTTGGTACTTATGGTAGTGACTTCCACAAGTGGGTGCTGACTTGGACAGACACCTATCTCCGGTAAGACAATGGCAACGGTGAAATATCGCTTCGGTTTTTTGAAGATAATCTTATTTCTTTGATAGTAGCTGGTTACTTGATATTATTGATCAATGCGCTCGGTCATAGTATTCTTAAGCTACATTCAAGAAAGTATTGGCCGTTACCCAGTATTGCAAGTTACCCAGAAATAAAACAGGCCTCGCGATTTATCATAAATGAACGCAGCTGACCCCAAATGGAACACGCGTTCGGTTCACAGCTGACCCCAAATGGAACACGCGTTCGGTTCACAGCTTACCCCAAATGGAACACACGTTCGGTTCGCAGCTGACCCCAAATAGAACACACGTTCGGTTCTCATTGCATCAGGTCGAACATGGTCAGATTCTAAAAATAGAGTGGGCACCGGAGCTCAAATTTGATCTCAAGGTAGACACATATTCACTTGTCTGCTGTTTGATAGCCTGATGAGTTTTACATGTTCTCAGGGTTGAGGTAGATGATGAAGAGGTTTTGCTGGTCTCCCCTCCCACTGGATTCTGGGACTATGGTAACTTCGGTCTGCCTGCCAACGAGAACCCGTGGGCTGGCGGGAACAGGATGACACCGTTTGACCAAGAGGTAACCTGTGACAATGATTTCAGTTGCATGCCAAACAGGCATCTTACATCCCTTCGTTTGAACTCATAATGTACTGCATGAGATGAAGCTTGATGCTTTTCCAATATAGCTGATAGTTCGTTGTCTTGAGACGTTAGAATACTTGTGGCTCTCCACTCTGGTCATGGCTTTACTCAAGCTCGTCCAGAAAAGTTGTAAGTCCACTTGTGATGAACTTCTTCTGCTGTTCCCTCAAAGACGCATCTCTGCGCCATCTCCTCTGTTACCTCTTCAGCAAATCTTCCTATAGATCAAGTAGGTGTAATGCTGCTTTGCTATAGTGGTTTGTTTGTATAGCCAAGTACACCGGGTAATGGTATTTCTTGTAACACATGGTGAAGTTCTGTTGTGTTCGGTTCTGCAGTTCTATCTGATCTTCAACGTTGCTGTCGGGGGCACCAATTCGTACTTCCCAGACAGTGCTACCAATCAACCCTACCCGAAACCCTGGAGCAACGGCAACTCCCGCGAGGGCGCCATGAGGGACTTCTGGAACGCCAGGAACCAGTGGTACCCCACCTGGAACGGTGATGACGTCGCCATGCAGATCAAGTCCATCAAAGTCTGGCGATTCGTCTAAGTCTCGCAAGATTTCACAACATCTCGCGAGGCCGCGCGAATTCACGCGAGATCTACATATACGTTTTGATTCATACAAGCGCGTATTAAAAAAACCCATTAATTTATGTTTTAAAAAAAATGCCGATTTTATTTTTGTTTTTGGTCTATGTCGGTGAGTAAAGTCATTTTAGAATAAAGAGATCTACCATCAACTTGAATGTTTGTTTATTTCGCATTTATATATTCAAATACCATGGTAATATAGTCACATCATAAGTTAGAAACAAGATCCAAGATGGCAGACCCATGACGTCACAAAGTACCATATCTAATATGGGTAAAACAGTTAGTATGAGGAAACCTGGAATGGCAATGCAAGTTATGTGGTGGAAACCTAAAGCGGCCTCCCTTCTTTAAAAAGACTTATGGAATGACTTAAACGCGAGAGTTTTGTGCAGTGCACCAGAAGCGTGGCACGTTTTCTGGAACGTGACGTCTGTCAACAAGAGTATCTCACTAGTACATAGTCTGGGGAACCTTCCCACCTGTTCAAACGGCTACAACGACGATATATGTATATATAACCTTCAGAACTGTTGAAACAAGAGATAGGAAGAAGGCCGTGCTAATTCTTAAGTTCTTCCAAACGATACATTTTGAGTCCGTGCGTACAGTAGGTGGTAATTAGGACAGTGTCCTTAAAGACAATTTTTTAACTAAACAACCACGAAACAAGACTCTTAAGCCGGTAGTCTGGCGATGCACGAAAACTGATATTCGAGCATGCTTAATGGTATTTGTAAATGAGACTGAAATATCTAAATATTTTTCAGCAGTATGAAGTAAGTTTAAACTGTAATTTCCAACACAACAAATTGGACTCACCCAAATTTTTGACTGTACAACTCCAGTCTTTTTCAAGGAATGAGCAATCCACCGCTTCCGTGACGTCACGCAGATAACACACGTCACTCCGTGAGCAGTGGATCATAGGTTGCAGAAAGTCTGTGGCGCCCCCCGTCTCTGTTGAGGGATGGCTGTAAAGCCCTGATGTAGATGGCTTCTTTAATCCCTCTACCAACACAGATGAACTTTCAAGATATGATTCAGCAGTATTAAAGTTAAACTTGTAAGCAATATTCGTAATTGCCACGATTGAAAAGTAATCTTGAAAGCCTCGTAAAGTTAACTTAAACATGTACGTATCATAGCAACATTGCATCACATGTAAATGTATTGCAATGCAATATATATGCATCGAATTCTACGATTTCTGCAATATACAGTTTGAACAGGCAGAACTCAAAATGTTCTTTAGGTCAAAAATGGCCATCACCTTAAATGATATGATAGATTATGCAAATACACCACACACGACTGATATATGTAATATTTATTTATAGATTCCTAGGGGGTGTGGACAATGCATTAAGTGTTAAGGACGTCCCATGGTGCATCAGTAGTTCCGTTCTCTGCATATAAAAGTCAGGGTGAACATTTGTCTTTGTGTCATTGCCGCCGTCACAAATCGTAAGTACAGACAATTATGGGTCATATCTTAAGTGTAATTCGGAAAGGCTTGCGGTATTGAAGCAAGTGACTTGCCATTTCTAGATGATGCTTATAGTTTTCATAAAAACATTATGTGTTGATTTTGCACTGCACATTTGATAGAGTTGTCCATGCTAAATTGTTTTTAGATTTAATAGGATTCTTATGAAATTTGGACTGCGAACAACTTTATTGCCACATACAGTAAGTTTGCATGAAAGTATAAAAAGTTGAGCGTTTTCTATCATTTTGGCATGTAATTATGATTTTGTTGTTTAATCCGTTGCAGACAGTATGTCTTTGCTGGCTGTTTTGCTGTTCCATGCCGCCTTGTGGGCAGCTGGGGAAGCCCAGGGTAAGTAACAATACAAGACTCAATTGGGCATTTCCCAAACAAAAAAAAGCCTATAAATAAGCTATTTGTAACACAAGAACATAATGCTTAATCTAATCATACCAATGATATTCAATTTCACACATTGAAATGCACACATTTTTAAAAATCAACAGTTGCTGATTAAGAAGCTTGCACTTGTGACTTCCGACATACTTTTTGATAAGCGGTAAAAATGAATTGCAATTGCATATATTCACTATGACTAAGCAGTATAGAATGATGCTTTTCACTGTGACTAAGCAATATAGGTAATAGCTACGTTATTCGTGACTGTGTCTGCTGTAGCTTATGCAATAATTACATAGTCCGTTATCTAATGTAAATCCTGCAACTCATAGTGTATACTCTGAACGGAAGCTCTAAGGTTATTGGGTTATTGACTCTATGTCATATCATGAGAATAGCAACAGTTGGGTACTTATGGTAAATTTAATGTGGATGACATGCAGATTATAATTGATGTCTATACTTAAAGGTATCCAATGCAATTTCAGTGCGGCAAAACTGAATTTCTGAAGTCTTTTGCAGCTGGTCCTACTTTTCCGGATCCAAAAGCTGGGACGTGTGCCTGATAAACAAAAGAAGGGCTGACATTCTCTTCGTCTTCATCTTTGTTACTCTTATTTTGCACTAGGGACCTATCTTGGCTGTTATATCGACGACCCGAACAACCGAGACTTCCCCCATGTAATAAGGCAGACTTACACCAACGGTTACAGCACTTGTGCCCAGCACTGCGCGTCACTGGGGTACCGGTACATCGGACTGCAGTACGCTATTGAGGTAACTGTTTTTGGCGGCGCCTCAGGGGCAAGCCCAATAGTATAATTTGTAGTAAGTCTCCACAAATATTTTACCTTGTTTCTATTAGGGTTAGTTTATTAGAGTAATAGTTTATTGATAACATATAGTATAGGTTGTGCAATCGCAGCACAAAGCTGATTTCAGTGAGTCAATATTTACAAATATTTAACACTTTTGCGGTACGTGAAATGAAATGATCCAACCCTAATTTTTTAAAATGTCATTGCATATTGTTAATTTTCTCCTATTTCCAGTGCTTCTGTGGCCACAGTTATGGTAAGCACGGCCGGGCCCCGGAGTCTGACTGCTACTACGGCTGTTCTGGGGGAACCGGCGGGCAGTGTGGTGGTGACTACCGGAACACAGTCTGGGACATCGGCACATGTAAGCACTTATACCTGTAGTACTAGTAGTAGAGGTTGTAGCAGCTTATTTATCTGTAGTAGTTGTAGCAGCAACAGCAGCATGTGGTAGGAGTAGTGGTAATAGTAGCGGTAGCAGTAGTTGTAGCAGTAGTGGTAGCAGTAGTAGCAACAGCAGTAGTAGTAGTAGTCGTGGGTGTCTTAGTAGCAGTAGCAGTAGCAACTGTAGTACAGTAATTGTAGTAGCAGCAACAGCAGTAAGCAGTAGTAGTGGCAGTAGTACGTAGTAGCAGTAGTAGTAGTAGTAGTAGTAGTAGCAACTGTAGTAATACTAGTAGTAGTAGCAGCAGCAGTAGTAGTAGTAGTAGTAGTAGTAGTGGCAGTAGTAGTAGCAGCAGCAGTAGTAGTAATGCTATCTAGTATTAGCGTTAGTAGTTAGTAGTAGTACATGAAACAAGCTTAATAAAAATAAATTGTCAAGGTTCAATAGCCATGAAACATTGTCTTTCTAGCTGGTGGGACCACCGGTGGTACCGGAACCGGAACTGGTGACAACTTAGAGCTGGTGTTTGAGGACACCTTCGATACCCTGGACACGAGCAAGTGGAGACCTGAGGTCACTGCAGGGGGTGGTGGGGTAGGTACTCTCGTTCCCATGTTCTGTATCAAGATGTGACCAGGATGCTGTTTGAATCTTTGTAATTTGCATCAGCAGCTAGGCTAAGCATGAACTACTTGTAGTCCTCACATCTCTAGGTAGACATAGCCTTTAGCCAAGCTATCCGGAATGCACTGAAATGATAATAGTTATTTTATTGCACAGTAACTGTACGGGGTACAAAGAATGGCGTCTACTAGAACATAACTTCATAGGGTTAACGTAATGAGTTATATATCCCATGTATAATATACATCAATTACACCTATTTTAACTTGTATGTTTTCTTGGATTATGTTGGTTCTGACGTTGTTTTGATCTTTCCACAGAATGAGGAGTTCCAGTACTACATGGGCAGTCCTGACAACCTGTACGTCCAAAACGGGAACCTCTACCTCAAACCGGTAAGTATTTCAATCTATGTCAAATTCCATGTTGGGTTATTACCCTTTTGTGCTGTCATTCGCAGTTATATAGGTCTGTTTGTTTCCCAGGTCAATGTTTTTGTTGTGTTCTACATATCAGTTTGTCTACCATCGCCAACCATTATATTGTACCTTTATGTAATATTGATCTTAATTCAGTGTACTCCACTGCGACATCAATAAAGCCAATCTGAATTGAATCTGAATCTATGGTGTCTATCCTACTATTCATACTCATCATAATATTCCCTATCCTTTTATTAGACCCTCGCTTCTGAGCACTACGGAGAAGAGTTCCTGACTTCTGGGTACATCGACTTCTGGCGTAAGTTGAAAAAAAAACTTTGTAGCCACATACTATTATGAAAGTTCATCTGTGTTGGTAGTTACATGTTTAAAGGTAAAGCTTTTGTTCCAACACAAAAAATTCTCTCACCTAGAGCTTTCGACCAGTCACTCTGGTCTTCCTCAGTAGACTGACCCAGTGAAGCTTGTCACGTGGCCTCTTTGAAGTGTGACGTCAACACTGGGTCAGTCTACTGAGAAGGACCAGAGTGACTGGTCGAAAGCTCTAGGTGAGAGAATTTTTTGTGTTGGAACAAAAGTTTTAACTTTAAATTTGTAGCCACATGTACATTGCATTGACAACGAGTATAAAGCGGTTATCTAATCATTCATTTATTTATTTATTTATCCATTTGTACTTTACTAATATCTGCTTGAAGATAAACAAACACTCTTGTTCCAGACGGTTATAACTACATCGGCTGTTTCAATGACGGCGGAGACCAGGACCTGACGGACAGTCTGCTGACCGCTAGCGACATGAACCCTGGGAAATGTGTGACGCACTGTGCAGATCTGGGGTACGAGTACTTCGGCCTGAAGAATACGGAGTGCCGCTGTGGAAACAGCTACGGAAGGTTCGGAAGGTTTTTTTTTCTAAAAACCATCAATAATCTTGTTCGTGTCTTACACATGTCTTTCATATCCATAACCGTGTCTATCTAGTCCCGTGCACAAATGGGTAAGGGTTAGCATCAGGCTCTGTTTTGGATTGTCTCCGTGTATCCAAGAACTTACATTTTGCCACAGGAACGGTTCTGGATAAGTGTGGATTATTCAGAACCGTATCTGAGCATGGCTTTGGATACAACTTCACTGTCCCTGGTACTGAAAAACATCCACATAGTCATTGGTGTGTCTGTCCTTGGTACTGAAATCCATACACGCGTATTTTGGTACATCTTTGTGAAGGATTGAGTGTCACGTTGTGAGTTGTTCTCTCTACTTCTATGACAGGTTCGGCCGAGGACACGGGTGCCACATCAACTGTGCAGGGGATAGTGGGAAGGAGTGTGGTGGACATGGCGTCACTTCCGTCTACGGACAAAGTACGTCACTTCCTGTTTCACCTGCATCATGCTCACATTGATTGAGTGATTGATTGATTGATTGATTTTTTCGCTAAAAACAGTTACTCAAGCAACTGGATATGATTTCCAAAATCATATCCAGTTGTTTGAGTAACTGTTTTGGGCGTATCATATTACCTGGATGTCTAACCTTCACCAATGTGATTGATTGATTGATTGATTGATTGTGTTATTGATTGATTGGGTTATTGATTGGTTGATTGATTGATTGATTGATTGATTGATTGATTGATGCAGGTTACGGTGACTGCACCTCGGACTTCCCCCAGGGCCGGGCCTGTTACCTGGCCGGATCCCACAACAACATCCTGCCGCCCATCCAGTCCGCCAGGGTCACCACTGTGGAGAGCTTCGCCTTCAAGTACGGGAAGGTCGAGGTCTGGGCCAAGCTGCCGACTGGGGACTGGATCTGGCCAGGTCAGTCACAACTTTAGTCTTTGGATACTACGGTTTCTTTTTTTACACAACCGGTATAGATAGACTCATCTACTAAGTACGTAGCAAATGAAGATGGCGCTATAGGGTGTTCTGCGATTCCTTTGAAATGACAAAATTGAAATCGTTCTTTTTTTTTCTTGCTCAGCAATCTGGCTTCTTCCCAGGGATAACGTATACGGAGGCTGGCCGGCTTCGGGAGAAATCGACATCATGGAATCCAGGGGTAAGTGGTCTTATCTCATGAACTACTACCCTTCTCATTCCTACTAAAAGACAGTCACATACTGTATATGGTGACCAGCCCTCCATCTGTCCTGCTACATAATGTAACCCAACACCACAGGGTGTCTGCCACAGGACCAGTTACCGTGGTGACAGACGTCTGGTCCAAGTCACGGACCTGATGCGTTATGTTCTTATGGAAGAAGAGAAACGGCCCCAAAACTATGTTTTCCTTCCAAGATGATAAACCTGATAACACGATGGCGTTGTTGTGTTCTTTATACAGGAAACAGGAACTTGTTTGGATCCTGGGGCGGTTCCATCGGAGTTGACGACATGGGGTCCACCCTGCACTGGGGACCGAGATGGCCTTACAACGGCTTCCAGCAGACAACCGCCTCTAAGTACACAGTATATTACGTACCTTTGACTGTAATCTGCAATTAGGCATATATGTATTGCATATATAACACATTACAGTGAACTTGTAGTTACATGTACTTGGAAGCAGCTGCTTAGGGAATAACTTGACTGAATGTCCTAATTTTAATACTAACAAATCATTACATCCACTCATATCCCTAGGCACACCAGCTCTGGTACTTACGGGACTGACTTCCACAAGTGGGTGCTGACTTGGACCGACACCTATCTCAAGTGAGAATATTAATGTTTCTCCTTTACAAACTTTTGAAACCATCCGATTTACATGTATCTGTTCGATGTACCAACTACCACAGTGACAGCCTTCAGATCCAGGTCATTGACCTTATTTGTTTGGAGAAGAAGAAACAGAGCAAAAAAACAACAACAATATTCCTCTGCGAGGGTAAGCATAACGAAATAATGACTTTAACATATCCTTAGGGTTGAGGTTGATGATCAGGAGGTGTTGCTCGTCTCTCCTCCCACCAATTTCTGGGACATGGGCAACTTCGGCCTGCCGTCTTACGAGAACCCTTGGGCTGGAGGTGGCAAGATGACACCATTCGACCGGGAGGTAGGCCATCTTCTTCTACTGCTGCTTGTACATGTAGTTTGAATTTTAGAAATCTAGCAACCTGAACGTTTGCTAACTCTTTTAGAGCCTTGTTCACGGAATGGACCCGTCTACTCTTGGAACGTGACGTCAGAGACACATGACAGAAGTAGCGGATCATACGTTCCAGATAACTTGTGTCGCCCCCCGTCTCCCAATTTATTGTAGTTAGTGTTGGAAGTTAAAGCTTGGTCTTTATTTCATAATGACTTGTACCAACACAGATGAACTTTCATAGTAACTTGTTCTATGTAACTCTATCGTGTTCTCCTCTCTAGTTTTACCTGATCTTCAACGTGGCCGTCGGCGGTACCAACTACTACTTCCCTGATGACGCCACGAACCAGCCCTACCCGAAACCCTGGAGCAACAACAACTCCCGCGAGGGCGCCATGAGGGACTTCTGGAACGCCAGGAACCAGTGGTACCCCACCTGGAACGGTGATGACGTCGCCATGCAGATCAGGTCCATCAAAGTCTGGCGATTCGTCTAAGTCTCGCGAGATTTCGATGAGATCACACGAAATCACACCATGGTGATACCATGATCATACGAAATCTATATTCTGTCATGTGACTATGCTGAGCAAGGTCATGTTGAATTCAGATTTTACTGTGAACAATATTGATTTTATTTCTTCTCTGTGCTCAATGCAACAATATCAGTAATGATACCATGGTAAAACCTGTGTAATAAAACTATCAATAAAGACATCAATGTATGCAGTTGCCTTTGAAGTTTCTTACTTGATTTTGTTTCCTTCAAATTACTTACTTACTTACTTATCCTCTTCGTCCCTTGTGAGACATAAGGCCATGACTTTCTTCCTCCATCTGGGTCTGTCCTGCGCCATGTTGTTGACACTTCTCCAGTTCAGACCCATGGCCGCCAGGTCGTCCGACACCGTTCTCCTCCATGTGGTCTTTAGTCTGCCTCTTTTCCTCTTTCCTTCTGGCCTCCAGCTAAGGGCGACTTTGGGGATCCTGTTGTCAGGCATCCTCAGTACATGCCCTAGCCACTTGAGTCTTCTGCCAGTGATCTCAGTGGTGAGTTTCCTACAGCCAGTTCTGTTGTAAAGTTCGGCGTTGGAGATCTTGTTTGGCCAGAAGACGTTGCAGATCTTACGTAGACAACTGTTGTGAAATGAGTTGATCTTCCTCATGTCTGTCTTCGTCATTCTCCAACTCTCCGAGCCATACAGAAGGACGGATTTCACATTGCTGTTGTAGAGTCTGATCTTGGTCGTGGGGCTATACTGCTTCGACTTCCAGATGGTTTGTAGTCGGCTAAAGGAACTTCTTGCTTTGTCCAGGCGGGTTTTAATGTCCTTTTGTGCACCATCTGTAGCACTCATAACACTTCCCCTTCAAATTATCTAGCTAATTTTGCTTGTATGATATTCAATCTATCTAACGTTAATATCTTTCTTTCATCTGCTAGAATTAGGAGGTTCAAGTCCTTGGCTAGCGGTTAAAAAGTTTGCAAAAGATTTTCCACATCTTCATATAATTATAAATAAAGCTTTTCCAACCTTTGTCGGTAATTTGTCACTAAAATCGCTCTTCTGGTGCGGCAAGACATAGAATTAAAAGCCACTCAATAAAACGGACCATTTGATAGAGCTTAGCTGAGAATTAATCCAATTAAAAAGCGGACCAATCGAATCCACGGATTTCGTCTGACAACGAGGCTCATAAATATGCACACATGAAGTGCAGGTGGCACGTTGCGTCATCCGAGATGATTATGTCATCCTTCCGGCGAACTGAGAAGATATGCTGGGTTAAATATAGGCAGGATTGGGTGTAAACATTAGCGTTTTAAGCAAAAATAACGCAAACAAAAACGGAAACAGTTGTCGCAAACTCTTCTGTATGATACATTCTTCCCATCTAGGTGTTTTATGGACGCTTGGAACGGATATTACGAACAAAATCAAGGAAAATGTGTTCAGTAACGAAAAATGAAACAAACATTGATAAAACGCTTAGATTCCCCTCTTTTGTTTAAGTTTTTTCACCAAAGCCTTTCTAGAAGTGTAATGATTCATATCTGAGGTGTCCAGAGATTTACGAACGTGCAAAATGAAGTTTGAGGCCAAAAACAGGTCCAAATTTTTAAACCCCATCCGAGCCTTCAACTTTTCCCCATTCGCGAAATGGCCAAATCTGGGAATGAAAGTCGTTCCGTTAGTGAGATACGGGCCTTTTCCGCACTTCCGTTTTTAGCTTGCCCGAAATTAGGCTCTTTTGGGGGTTACCATTTGATACCGGATAGGGACACAAATTTTCATTTTTAAGCCTATTGCTGGGCTTTTTTTGTTGAAAATTCGACAGGTCTGTCGTATGTTTTAAATACTACTCTGATATTTGACCTAAAGAACGCTCTAATTGCTCGTTTTCTTGTGATTTTTCGGCCTGCTCACGGTGTCGCCGTTTGCAGAAGTGACGATTCCGTGGACACCGTGCGGCGAGGCCCGTGCAACCGGAAGTGGCCATGCTTACACTATGTATCAGCTCAAATCGCGTCTTAAAAACAACTTTTATACCATGTAGACTTTATGATGAGAATTGTATCTTTGTAAGGAGAATTTACTCTTTATTCAAAGTGGAAATGATATTTGAAAAAGAAACAGGAAGCTTGAAAGTTGAGTAAGATTGCTGACTGCTATGACGGTCCCAGGTCCGGTCTGCACTCCAGCAAAGTCGTCTCAAAAAATGACCAAAAAAGTTAGAAAGTTGCCTGTTTTGAGACAATTGCGGGATAGCATGTGAAATCTCTGGTATGCCTTACCCGCATAGGAGCAGATGTCACACTCTTGCCACTGATTTAGCTGCTTATTTCCAAATTGCGCAACATTACACATCTATAACGGGTCAAAGATAGTTAAATCTTTGTTGGTATGCCTGTTTGTATATGTGTCTTTTCATTCCTGGCCAGCCCGGCAGCCTTCAATGCCAGGCTTACCTCTCCCGCTCCATATGCAGGCGCCGCCATGCATCACACGTGTCAGTGAGGGCCTCTACCAGTTCATGTTAGTACTGCAGTCACTTGAGCCGATCCACCGTGGCGTTGAGGTCATTAGCATATGTATCCTTGATGCTGGGATGACGTATGGCTTTATGCCCAAATATGGACAACCGACTCGACACAGTAAAGCCGCTCTACTTTTCATGTAAACAACTGAAGTTACGAAGAGTTTTCGGACGATCGGGACTATTTAGGACAGTCATATTCCTCCAGGCAAGAAACAGAGTGTCTTTACAGAGAAATGGAGCCGAGTTATGTGCTCAGGGAAGGTGAAAATGCCAGTGAACCCGGCTACTAAGTTTGGTTACGAACAAGGGGGAGGGGGGTGACATTGCTTGCTTTCAGCACCAAGGACAGGGATAGCTTCCGTTTCAACATGGCATTTTTCTCGTGATAACAAACTGAATATCACTACACTTGCTGCAATATACAAAGAAAATCGATGTATATATTTTTTGTTGGCAATGTAAGGCTGTCTGTGTGCGTGTTTTTCCATTCCTGGCGAGCAAAGCAGCCTTCATTGCCAGTCTGAGCCTCCCACTCCATGCAAGTGCCGTCATGCGTCTCACGTGTCAGTGGGGGCCTCTAGCAGTTCGTCTTAGTATTGCAGGTACTTGAGCTGATCCGATTCACCATGACGTCGAGGGTCATTTGCATATGTATCCCTGATGCTGGGATGACGTATGGCTTTATGCCCAAATATGGGCAATCGACTCGACACCGTAAGTCGCTCTACTTTTCATGTAAACAACAGAAGTTACGAAGAGTTTTCGGACGATCGGGACTATTTAGGGCAATCATATTCCTCCAGTCAAGCCACAGAGTTGACAGAATTGTCTTTACAGAGAAATGGAGCCGAGTTATGTGTTCAGGGAAGGTGAAAATGCCAGTCAACCCGGCTAAATGTTACGAACAAGGGGGAGGGGGTGACATTGCATGCTTTCAGCACCAAGGACAGGGATAGCTTCCGTTTCAACCTCGCCTTTATTCCATGACAACAAACTGAATATCAATACACTGACTGAACATCAATGTATACATTTTTTGCTGGCAATGTAAGTCTGTCTGTGTGCGTGTCTTTCCATTCCTGGCGAGCCCGGCAGCCTTCAATGCCAGTCTTCGCCCTCCCACTTCATGCAGGCGCCGTCATGCGTCTCACGTGTCAGTGGGGGCCTCCAGCAGTTCATCTTAGTATTGCAGGTACTTGAGCTGATCTGATTCACCATGACGTCGAGGGTCATTTGCATATGTATCCTTGATGCTGGGATGACGTATGGCTCTATGACCAAATATGGGCAACCATTCGCCGCTCTACCTTTCACGTAAACAACTGAAGTTACGAAGAGTTTCCGGACGATCGGGACTATTTAGGACAATCATATACCTCCAGACAAGAGACAAAGTTGAAGGAACTGCTAATAGAGAGAAATGGAGCTGAGTTATGTGTTCAGGCAATGTGAAAATGCCGGTCAACCCGGCTAGTTTGTTACGAACAAGGGGGAGGGGGGTGACATTGATTGCCTTCAGCACCAAGGACAGGGATAGCTTCAGTATCAACATGGCCTTTTTCTCGTGATAACAAACTGAATATCAATACACTGGCAGCAATATACGAAAGAAATTAGTTTGTACATTTTTGCTGGCAACGTAAGACTGTTTGTGTGCGTGTCTTTCCATTCCTGGCGAGCCAGCCAGCCTTCAATGCCAGGTTTACCCCTCCCACTCCATGCAGGCGCTGCCATGCGTCTCACGTGTCAGTGGGGGCCTCTAGCAGTTCATCTTAGTATTGCAGTCACTTTATGGCGTTGCGGGTGATTTGCATATGTATCCTTGATGCTGGGATGACGTAAGGCTTTATGACCAAATATGGGCAACCGCGACTCGAAACCGTAAAGCCGCCCTGCTTTCCATGTAAACAACAGAAGTTACGAAGAGTTTTTGGACAAACGGGACTATTTGGGACAATCATATTCCTCCAGACAAGCTACAGAGTTGAAGGAATTATCTTTACAGAGAAGTGGAGCCGGGTTATTAATCAGGGAATGTGAAAATGCCGGTCAACCCGGCTAGTTTTGTTACGAACAAGGGGGAGGGGGGGTTCACCCTGCAGTAATTTTACCGACTGCTAGAAGTCGCTTTTGATCCATGGCGTTGAGGGAGTTGAGGGTCGTTAACATATGTATCTTTGATGCTGATTGGCTCTCATTATGACAACATTTTTGAGTCATTGATGCTGATTGGCTCATGCCTTGTAAACAAGGATGACGTGTAGCTACACAGCCAAATATGGGCAACCGCCTTGAAACTGTAAAGCCGCTCAACTTTGCATGTAAACAACTGAAGTTACGAAGAGTTTTCGGACGAACGGGACTATTTGGGGGAATTATGTTCCCCCAGACGAGCTACAGAGTTGAAGGAACTGCCATTAGAGAGAAAAGGAGCCGGGTTATGTGTTCAGGGAAGGTGAAAATGCCAGTAAACCCGGCTAGTTTTCTTACAAACAAGGGGGAGTGGGGTGGCACTGTTTTGGGGATGGCTTTCAGCACCAAGGACAGGGATAGCTTCACTTTTATTCTGGCCTTTTCTCCATTTTCTCCGTGACTACACACTTAATATCAATACACAGGCTACAATATACGAAGGAAATCCATTTGGAAATGTTTCGCAGCCAATTCCTTATCATATGAATGGAAATACTGCGTAAACTATGGCAATCTCCAAGCAGTTACGACCTTCTAACATCTGCTTGGTTTCCATTCATATGGTAATGAGATCGACCCGAAAAACTCCGCATCTGCAAACACTGTGAGCACTTCTGCAAGCGATCAGCTGATCGCAGAAACCCAATTTCACGTGTAACTCGAGAATGAAGAATATTTGTGCAAAGATAATAAGTAGGATTTGAATAGAGAACGTAAGGAGTATACTATGAAATCAAGGAGGCCGGAAAATGACAAAAGTTTCATTTTTCTAAAATTAAAAAAGCGGAAATTCATCCCCTATCACACCCCCGTTTTGGAGCCCCCGTTCCGAAAAGGCCCGTATCTCGCTAACGAAGCCTCGCTCATTCCCAGACTTGAACATTTCGCGACTTGGGAAACGTGATGGGCTCTTATGGGGGTTTTACTTCAGGTCTTTCCAGCTCTTGTTCTTGACATTGAGGCTCCCCCAGACTAACTTAATGACACGAATCTGTCAAGAGAGAAACATTTTATTCTTGCATCAGTTCATTTTGATACAAACATTTCTAGAACGACTTTTACAAGCGGCTGAATAGGTGACTTTTTCGTCAATATTTCTGCTCCTTGGCATTCACGTATCCACAAAAAACTCACCGTTTATTGACAATTAAACTCTCTTACCTCCTGCACACAATTCTTAACAGTTAATTACTCATCATTTCTGCCATTTCGCTGTTTACGAAGTAATTTGGGCTCGAAATACATTTTTTTACATTATTGAGTGGCAATCAAAACAAAGGAAAAACCCTTATGCTTACAAATCATACTTCTTATTTGACGACACACGAAAGAAAGAGTACAAATGAATTATTTTTCCATATCTGAATTAATCTACCTCACATTTTACTAGTTGCTAACGCCTGGGAGGAAAGATAGGTTATGCAAATGACGCAGGTTGGTAGGGCTGGAGAATGTGACGCTCTGGGTTTCCAAGGAAACCGTTGCTATGACATCAGCGTCGGGAGGGTCCGTCAGACGGAGCACGTGATACAGCACGCCGGTCTGCTGGTCCAGGTTGATGACGTCACCGCCGTAGTAAGACTGGTAACGGTCTGAGAAGGTAAAGAAAGGGCAGCTAATTTTTTCTGTCAATGCCTCAGCAATGAGAAAGAGTATGGGACGGTCAAACACAACAGTACCAGCGGACTAGCCCCATGCTGTAGTGAACTGTGTGGCCCAAGGGCTGCAGAAATGGAGATGGGGACCACCCCTATGCTCTTCACAGAGACTTTTTCAGCAACACAGCCTGATTTATTGCTGATATGGCAAATTAAAACGTAAAATGCTGCTCTCAGATAAATTCTAATCGCAACGTCAAGTTCAAAGGTTTGATACACGCATAATTGAGTCATATAATAAAAATTTCAAGATTAGAACTTTTTGGCGACTGTACGGTGACTAATTATATAAATTGGATTTATGTGAGTCTTGGTTTCATGATGATGATGAATTCATGACTGGAATATGCAGACTGCAAAATGTAAAAAGTATTATTTTCAAGAGACACGTTGAGCGATCTATCAAGTCTTTGGTTAATTCAAGTTATCACGTTGGGCATATCGTGTCCCTGATGGAAAGGGGTACGCAGTGTACGTACCAGGTACTGCCACGACCCACAGAGGCTTGATGAGGCCCAGTTTAGGATCCACCGTCACCAGAGTGTACGTCACTTGCCGATCTAAGAACAGCCCCGGAGACATGGCAACAAGTTTACCTGGAAACAAACAGATGCAGAGAAATAAAAATCATGATCCTAGTATATACAGCTGAACACGAGATATCATAAGCGGAAGCTCTGCTGCAGTGCCAGAGAAAGTCACTAGGGATCCAAAATCCAATCATTCTATTCCCTGGTTATTTTGATTGACGGCCAAGATGGGCCTAACTACATGTATAACGTTACCTGTCTTCTGGTAGAAGTGGATAGAGGAGATTGTGTAGTTATCCACATCCAGCTGAGCATACCACATCTTAGCCGGCTTCCTGAAACAACACAAATCAACAGAAAAGAGATTATCAAATATCAGAAGCATCCTAAAACGTCTGAATCTTCGAATTTATCCAATAGTTGCTTGATTTAGTAGAAGTAGGTATGCGCCAAGCCCCTGTCACACTTTCAGAACTTTTCACCCGGCCAAATTTAAGGCCACGCCTACCTTTCAATGTAAATTGAATCAAATTTGAGTTAAATATGAGTCAAATTTGACTACCAACCCGCACGACCACTGTTAATCTACTTCCACCACCAGCCAACCTGTCCCAACCTCGGGTCTACTTCCGAATGTTTTAAACACCAGCCAAGCTCAGCCGACCTTGCTACCGACCTACGTATACTCCCAATCGTGGTTGGGTGAAATTCGGTAGTGTTTGGAAGGCTATATTCAATTCTTTATTTGGATACCAAACATAACAGACAAACATGACATACAATGTTGCCTGAATGGCGTTGATATTTACAAGATAAAATGTCAGAAAATTATATATTTACATCAACTATAAAAACAATACAGTAAGTGTACGAATATTCGGCTTTTACGAAAGTTAGACCCAACTCACGCATTGAGATCAAACGTGTAAACCCTGGCGTCCAGCGTGTCAGGCGCGTTCTCGTTCCCCATCAGGACGTAGAGGATGTTTTTCTGCGTGTCGGCGGTGGACCAGAGGTAGTTGATGTACAGGTCCTCAGTCTTACTGGGGTCGGAGTACATCTCCTGGTACGTACCGTCCTGGTCCAACAGACCCACTCTGAACGTGAAGGTACCTGAGATGGAAATGGAAGCAGGCCATTCATTCAAACACTCAACACGAGACATGGTGACGGCACATTTCATTTTATTTTTCACCTTATTTCTATGCGACCACCAACGCCTCTCCAACTCCATTCTGCTACATATTGTAACCCAACACCACGGGGAACTAGTTACCATGGTGACAGACGTCTGGTCCAGGGCATTGACCTTATTTGTTTGGAAAAGAAGACGAAGGGGAAGAAGAAAAAAACTTATAATCGGGAACAATGTTTTCCCTCTGCGAAGGTAAACATAAAACTCTTAGTCCTACAATGACAGTATGTATCATACCTGGTTTATCCCGCACCATGTCCATGTTAAACGTCAGCATCGAGCCTTGGCCGTTCGTTGTCATGGCGACGATGGGTGACGTCACTGCCTTAGCGTCCACGGCCTTCTCCATGGCGTTACCTGATGGTGCCTGGAAGAACAGAGTGCTTGTAGTCACACGATATAAAAGTGCAGTAAATGTGCTTAAAATTCGTGACCCTAGCATGTCTAGATCATGACATATCAGGACCTAAAGTTCTGTTTCAGTACCAAGAAAAGCCGCTAGGGGGACCAAAATCTAATCACCTCTAGGTCCCATCAAGACCTACCCACATACCAAGTTTCATGACAATCCACTAATATTCACAGACAAACAATAGGATAAACGCTACTAAAAACTTGACTTTCTTGGCGAAGGTAACTACATGTAGTACTCATAAATGGTTTGGTATTGAATATAGTAACAGTCGCCACGGCCTAGTGACTTACCTCGATGGTTAGAAGTGTATCGGCCACCGCATCCAAACTGCTGGAGTTCCCGTGTTTCATGGTAAACATCATCTTACTCTCCTCGCTGTACCCCAGCATCTGGTCCATAATGAACTGGTTCCCCGATGCCTGACGTTGCCCCTCGAACCGACGTCGATCACCGAACGGTTGAAGTTTCTTCCCCCCACCCGTGCGTCTGTTCCTCCGGGCCCCCATAATCTCTGGCCGATAGCCGGAACCTACGCCGAAGTCAAACGTTTTGACGGGATACACTACTCCAGTAACAGTGTCCACAGATACTAACTCACACTGTAACGGGTCTAACTCTGAATATGAGAAACCGTACAGTCTAGCGCTACCTGGCATGGGGGTAGGGTTGGGGGTAGGATTGGGCACGGTAGGGGGTTTTATGGGGTTAGGGTTGGGCTCTGTAGGGGTTTGGTGGGTCATGTTTTTGATGGCGATGTCAGCGCACTGGTAGAAGGTCGTTTCGCCAGGTTTGTGCGAGTTGTACCGGAATCTCAGCACGCAGTGTGTGCAGTGTACGTTTGGCATCACCTGGAAGAGGAACAAAAAAAACATTTTGTTTCCTTTTCGTTTCGTCTTACTATTTCTGTGTTTGAGAGAAGCAATTGATGATGATGTTGATACTTTTTCTATTCATTCATCATAACATGCTCCTCTTTCCTTGTAATTTTTTGTTTGTTTGCTGGCTCTAAATTTGTGATGGACGTTTTTCGGGCATGGTTTGTTTATTTTTCTTTGTATGCTTCTTTGCTTGACTCTTACCACAGGGATGGAGTAGTTACGCTGGTGGTCCTGCGCATGCTCATTCAGGTCCCCGATGACGGCTAACAGGTGGAAGTTCTTCATATCCATGACGTCAGACCATGCCACGTCCATGTATCCTGAAGGGAGGTTTAAAAAAATTATTGATGGAAGCATCGCGATTATTATGTTTACCGAAAGAAAACATATTATTTTTGCTCAGTTTCCTCTTCTTCCTATTCTTCTCCGAACCAAAAAGGTCAATGACCTGAACCAGTCTCTCACCATGGTAACTGTTGTTGGGTTACATCATGTTGCAATTTTATAGCAGGAGGGATTTAGACTCCTGTTTGACAATATAGATATATATGAATGTGTTTGAGTAAGAATTAACAGAGCAGACTATGTGAAGGTAGATTATTATGCATTCGGGAAGCGGCTAGAGAGAAACGCCGCTTCCTGAAGCCTGGTACGGTAGAGGCTATGAAAAATGCCAGACCTGGGTAGCCGACGGTGTAGTGGTTGTAGTTCTGCTGCCAGAGCAGGGTGACCGCCGTGCTACTCAGGTAGGTCCGGGTGGGGTTGCCAGCCGGCTCACCGCCACACGGGGGACCGTGCCGGAAACACGTGTGGCTGCCGGACTAACGAACAAACAAACAAACAAATAGGTAAGCAAAGTAACAAATAGGTAAACAAACACGTGAACGAAAAATAGGAAGAATAATCAATAAAGACACTGGCCGATTATATTCTTATACCATCATCGTTAACAAACATACAAACAAAAAAATGTAAATAGGCATACAAACAAATGGATGAATAATGCGCTAAAAATATGTTGATCAATCAATAAGAAGACCAATTCCCCTTCATACATCATTGCGTTGGTATCGGCCAAAGACGAGATTGTTTGTCCTATCCAGGACAATGACCCTGTCACATGTGCAGCGGTTAGTGACCTTTTCTGCGTTCTCTCCATGCCCCACCCCCTCTAAACAGCGTCCAGTAGGCAAAGAGAGAAACACAGAAAACACGACAGAAGTCCAAGGCACGTACAAACCCAACACATACGTTGATGAAGGATAGACACCCAGGTAAACGACACTCACAGACGATATTACTACTGCTGGAATATATTACAGGGATTATAATTACTTCCGAACGTTTCGAGTGACATCCATGACTCTAGATTTTCTTCGGCGTCACCGAAGAAACAAAACTAGTCAATACTGTAAACCAGTTGTTGAACATGACGACAAAATTGGAGGCCGAGGCACACCTTGGAGTGTAAACTATACGTACTTTTGAGATATCGAAGTCCCCCCGCTGTCGAGGCTCTATCACGCACAGGTGTCCACGTCCGGTACTCGGTACCGACAAAAACACGGCCAGAGAAAGTACGAAGGTAGTTAGAGTCATCCTGCTGTAGACAGCCGACAAAAAGTCTGTGGAAAACACAAGATACAACAGTAGCTTGCCGTGCTGTTTTGTAGTGCTGGGGATAGGTGGGAGTGTCACAAGGGGCGTCACGCGACAGTGTTTTGTGGTTTGTCACGTGTTGAACATTGAGTCAAATGCCCCTTTAATCATTAACCATAAAATTCAAGCAGATCTAACGTTAATGTTTTTTTCGTAAGTTTGTTTTAGATCTTCCTGCATTTGGTGATACAATAAATTGGGGATTGGGATTTTTCTCAAATCACTTTAAACTCATAAAGACACAAAATGTCTAACTTTTTTTCGTAAATTTTTTTCTTGTTTGAAACAAGGATAATGTCCTTGTTTGAAACGACTTTTACAAAAATAATGATAAAACACGCTGTATTTTAGTGGCCTAGTTGGAACCTAGAAGAAAGTGAAAAGACGTAAAAAGAAGGGGGAAAGAATGGGAAAACACTGCTTCTAGTTTTTTTATGCATCTGTTAATCTTCTTTTATCAAGAAGGAAAGAAACAACACGAAGAAAGGGAAGCGATCCAGTTTGTGGAGTTAGGCAGGTTTGGTTCGTCTACCCCCGCGTTGAAATGGAATGGTCCATATAACGTCTCCATGGTAACAAAGATGGCGGCCGCACTGTAAGTGTCTGTGAGATAGTTGCACCAAGAAAATGCCAGGTTTGTCGTCTTTTTCTCAACTTATCCTGTCATTTTTCTTCTTCTATTAATACATAAGATGTTTGTGGTGACTTTGAAGCCCATACATAAGACCGGATGTGTGTTAAATGCGTTATAGAACCAGTATTTTGGCATTGTTTACACGAAAACGCACCCCACTCCCACTTTGACACTAGTACTTCATTCCTAAATTGCAGGTGATATTTGTCCTTCAATAAAGTATTTTGTAATTTACATAATCAGAAGTGTGTACGTATGCATGATAGGTGTGTCAGAAAAAAAACTGAACTTTGTCGATAGAGCATTTTGTTTATCATTCATAGCCATTAGACATTATGTAGGAACTTCGCTGAAACTGCTCGATGTTTAACTTTTCCCAACTCGGCCACTTCAGGATCAGGAGTAGCTTTTGTTTCCTTGTCAGTCATTTGTGTTGCGGGCATTAAAGCAATATGAAGCTCAAATTGTCCGTCTTGTGCAATACACTACACCGCTCAGTCACGCCACCTAGTGTGAATTATCAGAGGTGCAGCTATTGTAATATACATTGGGAAAAGGAAGCGCTTTGTGAAGAAAATGTGTAGAAAGTATATATTTGTTCTCAAAATATCCCATTGTCACGTTTTAAAGTTTTAACTCTGTGTGCCAACATTTTATATACAGATTGCTGTAAACAGAATTACTCAACATTTACTTTTTACATTGAAATAAACTTCCAAGACCTATTCTTTCTGGCCATTACAACTTCCGAACTGTTTGATTAAATCAAAACTTGTATCCCATGAACAGGTGTTTCTAATTTTTCTGTGTACCTACTTACAAAGATATCAGAGTCAAGTGTGACTGTTACAGAACAGGGTAATATTATAAGGGTACATGTAAAGAACCATGCATAGTTACTGAAACACGATATGTTTCTAGTAAACCCATGTATAAACATCACCAACCCTGGGAAAGTAAAGTCCCTTTTAACTATGTTTTGGGTTGTTACAAATACCCATTTTCAAACAAGCAACACCTCCAGTCCACCCCTAGACCTTGTGGGATGGTCCGAAAGCTTCAGCACAAAAGGCTGTGACATGTGTTGAAAAGTGGGTCATTGGATTTGAGGAGAGGGGGGATCAGGTTGCTGTAAGAGGACACGTTAATTTGATGAACCTAAAATACGGAGCTGTTTAAGTGAGATGACCTCGGTGCTTAGTGCCTTCGGGTGGCGGGTCTACGTGTCCGTTTGGTGTTGCTGGTGGGAGAAAAGTTTGTTTGCACATCGAGGGTAGACGTATCCAGCCTTTGATTATTGTACTGCTGTGGAGGTCCCTGCACAGGGATAGCCAACAGTCAGCCATAGTCTTCACTCTGTATTTCCAAGCTACTGTGTCCAGCGGGTCAATACTGGCAAGGCTGTACTCTCCATCCAGGATTTCCTTCGCGAAAAATAATAGTTCAAGAACAGGACGAGGAACCGACCATCTGTTGTACTGTTCCATCTCTGCTTCAAGAAGGATTGAAGATGTCTACAAGGCTACTTCAAGATGTGAAATGAACCTTTAAAGGTCTTGGGTTGCTGTCTGAAGAAGCTAAAGGTGTCTTGGAACTGGTGACTTGTCAGCACGGACTTCCTTTTTATGTTTTACAAAAAGTAGCTGCCAAGAATTTTTTCTTCTATTCAGTGAAAAGCTAGTACTCAAAAATCTTGTCCTGAAAAGTATCATCAGTGAATTTCATCTCAACGATGGATCTAGGAAGACAAACACTTTCCCTTGATCGTAAGAGGTGCACCTAAAACAACTTGCGACCAGGATTTGAGGCAGATGTCTGCACAAGAGTAACACCAAGTGCCTCCTCAAACATGGATGGCCGCTGACAAAGAGGGAGAGTGGGTAATATTTGCTGTGGACAGAGAACCTACTCACTAGGATTACCACAGATCCGGTTAACAAGTCACACAACACGACAGCCTGGTTTTCAAGTGGAGAAAGCGCTTTCGGGCCGTTAATTACATGACAGTTCGCCATTCAGGAGCGAATTTAGCAAAATTTTTCAACCCAGCAGGAACAAAGGTGGCTGTAAGAGTGAAGTGCTGGGATATATTAGTCTGAACGAGAATCTGACAGAAACGTTCATCAAATTTCCACCGGTTTACATAGCTGTGTGAATCCAGGAAGGCTTGTAGCTGAAATCTTTAACCTTCTCCCTGCTGCTTCACCCATAAGCAGTACAAGTTTGGTGTTAAATTGCTACCTTAGCAGGCTGAAGGTTAATCTTGGAGCAACAATTGTGAGGATAAGACCAAGCAGTACAACACAAAGGGTGTGTGTGCTGTTGTATTACCAGCAAGCCTAGTTCAACAGAATAGACCTCTGTAAAAACACATTTTGAAGACTAACAGAGGGAAATACTCTTCAAATTGGGAAAAGCAAGTCTTTCTTCTGACAATTTAACATGGCGGATGAAGAACTGGAAAGACCGCCATCCACGGGACCGTTCGAATATCGCAGTGACGACAAACACGTGACATCAGGGAGCGAGTTCAGCTCGATGTCGGACAGTTCAAGACGTGAGAGCCCCGGGCCGGTGTTTGGGGTAAACTTGGACGAAAGATCTCTATTGGAGCGTGTGGATAGTGCCCTGAACAGGACAGGTGCTGGCCTGGTTGATGTAATGTCATTTGCAAGCCATTAGAAAAATTCAAGCCACATTGACTACCATTTTTGCAGAAAATTAGACAAGTTGTGTTCTTTTATTATGTCCTTCGTTTACATGTTTTTCTCTTTTCTACAGCTAAAGACAAAAAAGTGAAGCAACCTTCTGTGGAGGAGCCTGAAAAAGGTTAAAGGCTTTTTAAAGGCTTTTCTAAAGGCTAAAATAGCTTTCTATAGTTTCTAATGTGGGATGTGTTGTACTCATTCAAGAAAAATGTGGAAAGTATATTGTACATATAGGTAGAGTCATTTTTTAAGCTGACTGGTACAAGTTTTTACACTAATTCTTAAAATTTAAATGAAAAACATAATTATTATTCATTAAACAGTATAGCAATTAGATGCATGTAAAAGAGTGCAGTGTTTTTTGTTTTTTTGAATACGTTTGTTTTGTTTAAAGTCCTCTTTATTTCCCTCCATACAGGTCCACCCCTTCAGAAGGGAGTTTATATCTTCCCCAATGGAGACAAGTATGGTAATTATTGCTTTCCCTTCTGTATCTGTATAGCCGGTATAAGTACCCCTCCATGTAACATACGAGCTTTCCAGGCACACAGCAGCTAGCTAACATTACAGTGAACGACTTGTTACACCTAGCCTTTGAAAATATAACTCTAAACGGACCATTTTTAATGGTATGTTGATCTTCAAAATTATCATTATTTTGCAAGCCAAAGGATCAGTACATTTCACTGAACCAGCCTTTATCTTTTCTTGTCATGATATATGTGCAGATGGGGAATACTCTCAGTCGGATACCGGGGTTCTGGAACGGAACGGCGTGGGAACCCACACAACGAAAGATGGCGTTGTCTACACGGGCCGGTGGGTCCAGGACAAGATGAGCGGACAGGGGAAGCTGGTCCACCCGTCAGGCGCGGTGTATGACGGAGAGTTCTACAACAACACGTTCCACGGGCGCGGGAAGTACATTTGGCCGGACGGGTCTTTCTACGAGGGAAACTGGGAGGAAAACAAGTATGTAAACAAAAACAAACAACTAGAAACTTTAAGGGAACTTTTGCAAAGCAAATGCATTAATGTTGATCTTCGCATACTGTCTGCTCTGTTAATTCTTGCTCAAACACATTCATATATATGGTCAGACAGGAGTCTAAATCACTCCTACTATAGAATTGCAACATGATGTAACCCACTACTAGTTACCATGGTGACAGACTTTCAGGTCATTGACCTTATTGGTTTGTAAATTAAAACTTAGTCAATCTTTTTTTTCATTTCAGGATGGAGGGTGACGGAGAGTTTATTGACACGGAAGGACAGACATGGACGGGCACTTTTCGACATCGGGCAGCCCCAGGGCTTCGCTTCAAACTGAACTTGGAAATCTGACGACTCAATAATCTCTTCTGACAGGCACCTTCCAACATTGGGCAGCCCTGGGGGCATTGTTATGAGACTTCACTGCCTAACATTCTCTGATAATTTGACTTTTCGCATTATATTTTAAAGGCTTGCATGCAGTATGCAAGCTGGTCCCTAGGTTTTGTAATTTCACTGATCTTATTAAAGAGATGTAAATATGACTGAGTTGTCTTTTAGGGTATATAGGGTTTATAGGAAAAGAAACTTATATGTTGTACATTGCCAAAATGTCCTGTATAACAAAATCTCATATTTCAAGAGGAAGTAGAGACACTTAAAAAATAATGTTTTCTTTTCAGAGGCACAGCAAATCTAGTTACTGCAACAGTGATTCATTTCGTATTAGAAAAAATAAATACATGTACATCTGACTAGAAAACTTGTCAAATAAAATATAGAATGCATTTTGATGGTTAAAACAGGTTAATTTATTATGACTACTAAGGCAACAAAGAAGACTAAATATGTCTCTTTGTATTTTTTTTTCAAAAACCTGTTTACCTGTACCACAAGTGGAATATGCCACAAGACATTACACATATATGTTCTAATTTAAAGTAGAATTATATTCTACAATCTTGAATATTTTCTGATTAAAAAAAGAACAAAGAAGAACTACAGTATTCTATTGCCTGATGATTTTCTTTGTAAATGAATTAGCTGCCATAATTACATTTAGACTGCTACATTTATGTAACAACTTTTTTTCAATTTTGTAACAATTTTGTAACATTCAATTTGTAACATTCTTTGCTACATAATACATTTCTCATAATATGGTACAACAACATAAAATAAGGATGCCAAATAATGGGTTATTCTTCGGTGAAAACTTTCTGTAAAGACCGTTCCATTGGAAAAAGATTGTGGGGAGGAAGAAATATATTTTTTAGATTCCCCATTTACAACTCTGTTATTACAGAAAAGATATTACATCAGAAATCAAGTTGAATCCCCATTGTCAAATGGGTCAGTCTTCTTTTAAAAAGTGTCCAGTTCACCCCTCCAAAAATCATTTTAATGGAATGGTCCTAAAAGGTACTGCTAGCCCACAAGCACACACAGACCTCTACTATCTCACTGTAAGTATTGATATAAAAATTATCATAATTAATAAGATTATGACACTTGTTTCTAGCTTAAAGCACCTCTGGGGGAAATTTTCATCCTGGAATGATCTAGACTAAACAAATGTAAAACCTTTTTCTACACACTATTTATATATTATAATATAATATCCATTTTCTTACGTTTTCACACGAGAAAGGAGTACATACATCAAGGCATTAGGAAATATACACTTATCCAAGGATTGCACTATGATACAGTAAGGGCACATTCAAATATCAACATTAAAACAGTAAGGCATTTATACTTTATATACAGACTGAATTGAACCTTTTTTGCTACCTTCTATTATCAAAATGGGCCCCATGTTGCTCTTGAACAAAAACTGACACATCAAAACACAGCCTTGTTCTTCTGTGGGGCCCCTAGTAACAACTTTCGACAGGCTTGTCTACATTTAAGCCTCATATATTACAGAAAAATGAAGCTGCATGTAACAGATATACGTAACAGCGCCACCTGGAGAGCTCCTGTGGCATAGCAGGCCCCATGCTTTGGTAGGTTCTAAAAACGGCAAGGTTCAGAAAACGGCATGCAAGGTTTGATTTGCTTGTAACTTATACTTTGAGACACCTGTACAGTAACCAGCACTGGCACCAATTCAAGGACATACTGAAACTGATAACTATTCTTTAATATTCGCTGGATATCGATGTATCCATATCCAAGCTGTGTTCTTTTTTTGCGACTTTCGCCCGGGCGTTTTTGAACCAGATCGCGACGCTCTTCAGTTCGAAGGGCTGATTTCGTCTCCACTCACTAGCGTTCAGTTCTTCCGCCATTTTCTTCATCTCGGAGCGTGACGGCTTCGGATTTACGTTGAACCACGTCTGGAGTTTGGGAAGCTCTGAGACAGGGTTGATGATCAGCCTTCGCCGCGTCGCGCGTGACGGTTTCCCTACGCTGTTCCCAAGCTGCGTGGCTACTGTGGAAGCTGGGGTGAGGGGCATAGTCTGGTTGTTGTGTTGTGAATACTGTCCGGCAGCTACCTGGCCTTGCACAGGTGCTGAATCGTTCATTACGACATCCTTGGGCGAAACCACTTCCTCACTTCTCGGAGTCGCAGGTGGCGCTTTTTTTATAAGTGGAGTTGGAGAAATACTGGAAGAGGTACTCCTCTCTGAAGGACTTACGCTACGACTGTGACCCTCGTCGTAACTACAAACGGAGCTTTTTCTGGATCTTTCAACTTCTTCTTCACGTTTGGACTCCTCCTCCTCGGTGCTAATTTCGTCTGGTATGGTGCTGACATTCTCTGTTTTTACGATGACACGAGGGGAGTCCTCCAGAACTCTTTTTTCAACCTCTGCAGCAATTAAGGTGCCCGTGTCATTTGGCGTGTTGCCGTTGTGGTCGCTCGAGGGAACTGTTTTTTCTACACCATTTCTGTTTACGTCGTCTGCTGGTGATCTCTTTGGCATATCCGGCTCGTCCTTAACACTGTCGGCAAGTTTGCTTCCCTGCGTGGCCGCCAACGCGCCCTTTTCCGAGTCGCTCGTGGACATGGAAGCCATGATGGAGTTGACCACCCCGGATACGAGGCTGCCGACGGTTGGGGCGGGGCTGGCGATGCCCGGTGACGTCACCATGGAAACAAGAGTGGGGCTGCCCATCATGGAGATGGGGACCACCGTCGGGATTTGCTGGGAGGGGATGGAGGAAGGTGTGACGTTGTTCGGGGCGGACACGGGAATGGAAACCGTTCTACCGTGCTGAAGCGTCAGGACGCTGTGGGAAAGCGGCGCCGGCTGGATTCGCGCCACGTTGCTGCTGTAACCCGACACCTGGATGGACCCGATTGGTCCAATCATACTGCCTCTCCTGCAAGGCAAATACAAGACAAACATGTAAGTTTGATTTGGTTTATCAAGATCTCTATTAAATTTCATACCTTGAACGCTCTTCTTGGAGTCGACATGGAATACAAAAAGATGAAATATAACAAAATAATACATTGAGCAAATGCTTCAAGTATGAAATAATGTTGAAAATGTGCTGAGAAATGACAGTAAATGTCAATATCAGACAGATTTCCTAATCCAGAATATTTTTTTCTTTTGCCACCCTTGTTGCATCAGATACCTACATAGATACATTGTTACAACTGCAGTTACATTTTTCGTCTCACTTGCCTTGCGCTCTCCTCTTATAGTGCTGTAGCCCTTTACCTCAGAGATAAGGACTGACCTTAGGCTTTACCCAAGCAATCTGTCAATAAAGATGATTTCAAACCTCAAAAAGAAAGTGACTAACCTACCTGAATCCGTTCTTGTGTCTGGGAGTGTACAGCCCCTCTTTCTTGTACTTGGCTCGTGCATTTTTGAACCAGATGTGCACAGCCTGATAGCGTAACGGAGCCTGGTGCTTACGAACCTCACTGTTGTTCAACTCCTGCAGGTATCTGGGCAAAATAATAACAATTTGTTTACTAACAATACTGTTTGTCATGATGGTCTTTTTCATGAAAATGAGCACATCCATAGCCAAAGAAGTCAATTTTTTTCTCTCCTTTTCAAGAAATTCGGGAACACTAGAGTTTTCTCGCCTTGAACAAAATGGCTGCCATACCTGTTAATCTTCATAGGATCAGGGCGCGGGTCTTCCCGGAACCACGCCATCAACTTCGGAATCTCGTGCTCCAGACTAAACGTCGTACGGAAGCGTTTTCGATGTTTGATGGGCCCGTGGCTTCCACAGCTGCCCGACTCCCCAGTTCTTGACAGCTTCTTGTTGGCACTGTGTGTCGAGCCATGGGTTGTTGTTGAATCGCGGTTAGTTGATGTCTTGGCTGCAGGAGTCGTCACCTTCGCGTACCATTCGTGGAATGCCTTGTGCTTATGTGGAGAAATTTCTGCATGGAACTCTCCCCTCATTAATTGGTCTATCTCCATCTGGGAAGGAACAGAAATAATGATTTGTACATGAACATACAGAGGCTTATACAGTAATTCAGGTACAGGTACCTTCGCATATGGTCTGCTCTGTTAATTCTTACGCAAACACATTCATATACATGGTGACAGGAGTCTAAATCCCTCCTGCTATAAAATTGCAACATGATGTAACCCAACACTAGTTACCATGGTGACAGACGTCTGGTTCAGGTCATTGACCTTATTTGTTTGGAGAACAAGAGGAAGAAGAAGAAACAAGAAACAGAGCAAAAACAATATATTTTCCTTTATTGAAGGTAAACATAATAAATAGCATATCACCTTGGTGAGTGGGCAGTCTCCGCTGACCAGTGTGTTGACCGGTTTGTGGGCCACGAGACTCTGCAGTTTGATGGCCACCTGGTGGTTCTGGTGGATCCGGCTGGACGTGGCCGCGTCGAGCTCCGGACTGCTGACCTCTAACCTTTGACTGACCTCTGACACATGAGGCTTTGCTGGGGGGCTGGACATCACCACTGTGGAGAAATAGTCCATGATTATTATCTCCAAGCAAAATAATGTTGATGAAAATAATGAAATTCACTTGACACTCCACATCTGGGCAAAAACAGGGCAGTCTCAATCTTCCCTAAAAGTTGTAACATTTATTTGGAGATTAGAGAAGTTGGCAATCTTATAGAGTATTCTCAGGCACAATTAAGTATTCTCAGGCTTTAAAAAAATCTTCAAGAAACGTAAACACTAATACTAAGTAGATACAGTCTACAACTTGATGTAAATAATATGGACATTGGAAGAACTGTAACCATTTTAGTACCTCCACCAATGGAGAAGAAGAGGAAGAAGAAACATAGCAAAAACATTATGTTTTACTTCTGCGAAGGTAAACATATTGACCTGGCTGTCTATTGGCTACACTGCTGACGGCTGCGATGACAGACTGTTGTTGTGGCGGGGCTGACGTGAGGAGCGGGGTGGACTGGTCCTGTACTGGGGACATGGTCGTCACCCCCATGGGCTGCATCGGGGTCTCCTGATGGGGTTCCTGCACCTGGGTCTCCCACCGCAGTCTGCAGGAACATCAGCATGGGGGGAAGGGTTACCTTCATGAAATTGATGCCATTTTCTGTATTTTGCTATCCTCAACATTTTGTTTTCATACATGTTCTGTTCAGTACCAAGGACAGGTATGTTTATATGTACTTGTGTGTGGATCAGTACCAAAGACAGGCTATTTAGCGAGGAAAAATGAAAGGAAAACACTAGAGAAATTGTCATGGACAGTTGACGGACAAGAAATCTGACAGTTGACTGATTGGAAAGACGCTGACATCTAGAGTTATGTTACATAATTGGCATGGACAATCTACAACACTGTCTTTGCACACCTGCACAATCACATACATGTACATGTAATGTTATACCACACTTGTGCATCACCTGGACAGATGTGTGTTACCTGGACAATTTGATCCTGAGCACAGCCAGGTGAAACACCTCCCCCAACACCTGACCGACTGTTGCCTGTGGGTTGTCTGAGATCGCGTTGAACGGCAGCGGCTTCCAGTTCTTCACTTCGATATGACCTGTAGATGATAGATTAGTTGGGAACTCAACTTTTCCATTTTTTTCTTTATTTACCTGTTAACCTGTGTATGGATGGTGATTAGCACCAAGAAAAAGTGTGTTCACCTGTGTATAGATGATGTTCAGCACCAAGGACAGGCGTGTTCACCTGTGTGTGGATGGTGTTCAGCACTAAGGACAGGCATGGTCACCTGTGTGTGGATGGTGTTTAGCACCAAGGAAAGGCATGTTTGCCTGTGTGTGGATGGTGCTCAGTACCAGGGACAGGTGTATTGGCCTGTGTGTGGATGGTGTTCAGCACCAAGGACAGGTCTGTTTACCTGTGTGTGGATGGTGTTCAGCACCAAGGACAGGCATGTTTGCCTGTGTGTGGATGGTGTTCAGCACCAAGGACAGGCATGTTTGCCTGTGTGTGGATGGTGTTCAGCACCAAGGACAAGCATGTTCATCTGTGCGTGGATGGTGTTCAGCACTAAGGACAGGCATGTTAACCTGTGTATGGATGGTGTTTTAGCACAAAGGACTGGTATACTTTCCTGTGTGTGTGGATGATGTTCAGTACCAAGGACAGGTATGTTTGCTTGTGTGTGGATGGTGTTCAGCACCAAGGACAGACATGTTAAGACAATCTTTTTGTGATCATAAACCACACTTTCCTCATTTTACATTTACAATTTTGTTATTACTCGTGAGCCACTCATTTTGCATGCATACCATGGTTTTTTGTAGACTACATTCTGGAAACAAAATAAAAGGGAAGAGTTAACAAAAAAACTTTCAACTTTGTGTTGGAACAAAGTTTGAACTTTACAACTATAAAAAAAAAACTTTCAACTTGACCTTACCAGTAGCGACGACAGACTGAACTGTGGAGTATCCCAGCTTCCCCAGCACCACGCCCACCAGGTCCAGGAAGAAGGTGGAACACGGGATGATGGCGTAACTCTCCATCTCCTGGATAACACCGCTGTCCAACGTGGTCTCGATTACACAGCGGATTGGCAGGCTTCTGTCTGTGGGGGGAGGGGGGCAGGAATGCAGGAAATACATATGAAACTAGAGAGGTAACATTTGCAAAGCAAATGCATAATGTTTACCTTCGCATATGGACTGCTCTGTTAATTCTTACTCAAACACAATCATATATATGGTCAGACAGGAGGCTAAATCCCTCCTGCTATAAAATTGCAACATGATGTAATCCAACACTAGTTACCATGGTGACAGACGTGTGGTGCAGGTCATTGACCTTACTTGTTTGGAGAAGAAGAAGAGGAAACAGAGCAAAAACAATATGTTTTCCTTTGGTAAACATAACTACAGAAAGGACGGCATTTGTGAGCAAATATAGCATATTTCAGTCCATTAAATCCTTCCCCATTGAAAACTGGACTGTTCCATATCAACCTTTTCCATCCGGTATCAAGTGTTTCAGTACCCTTCGTTTGTAACAATTGTTCTCGAAACCCCCAAATTTCAAGTCATTTGACCAAAAATGTAGAAATTGAATCCATTTGACATTTTTTTCTGTCAGCCCAAGGCACTCGCAACCTACGGAGGACAGGGGGCATGCTCCCCTCGAAACTTGTAGATTTTTAAGCCTTCAAAAATGCACTTTCTCACATTTGTATGTGTGGTAACACTGCGTTTTTTTTCAACTTTGGATGTTCTGTGTTGACGGATTGGTTTAAATATTTTTCCGTTACACACCATAAAGTTCCTATGAATCTAGGTTTGTTTTTGATGGGTTCACAGCAAAATCTACAATAACAAAAGGCATGCACATTCATGTAGAAAAGTCACTGGACTTTGGATACCCCCCGTTGTGAGAATCATTGCCAACATTGTGGTACAATCTATTATAAAGGCTTGGGAAGAAGTGGAAATAACTGCCAGACAAAACCAATTACCCATTAAATATTCATCAACCATAATTAAAATTACCAACGCCCATGAACACAAAATAGGGCAGAAATATTTTACTACATAGTGTACATGGTGAGGATTATATGTAGTCTGAGTGCCAGTCTTTCTAGCTTTCATCCGCTCCCCAAGATTCGCTACCGGACGAAAGCTAAAAAGGCTGACACAGGCTAGATTATATGTATATGTAACTGCTGGGTCTAGACCAAAAACATACTGGAAGAAATTGACTGAAGTTTGCATAGAACTGGGGAAAAATTACCACAGAACAGAACTTCTGGTGAGTTTGCAGTAAAAACACTGTGAGTATCTTATGATTTAGAGTATCCTGAGTTTTCTTGCACTTGAAATTTAAGACATCCAGAGAAAAGGAAAGTTCCTGAACACTTGTTGATTAACAATAATTGCTTTTGTGTGAGAACACCTATCAGTCCAAGTCAAATTGAAAGTTAAAACTTTATTCCCACATATAGAACTAGTGCATCAAATTAATTCATTGTTCTACCAAAACCTTATACAGGATAGAAATGTGTTGTCATTAATTGGTTGCAAACTCTGTGGAAGACTGGGTTTGAAATGCTGTTTTTCTCTCTGGTTGCCCACTTGGCAACCTAAGCCAAAAGCTAGGTTGCCCATCAATATTTCAGGTTGCCACCAATACTTGCTTTTTAGCTTAGAAGGCAAGCCATAGGCCAGGCTACCTATAAAGGTATCGCTTACATACTGGCCATGGGGGAACACATTTAATTTCAAAAGCTGTAAGCTGGGTGACTGTAAACTTTAAAAACAGTCGCCTTGTACATGTATGTAAAAGTGATAACTTGCGTGCCGGGCAACCTGGCATCTGCAATAAGTCAAGCACAGAAAAAATGAGTTGCACAGCACATGTGTAAGTGAAGGGCTGTGTACTGGTACAAAGTACGGTTGAAATACATTTGTACCTAGTCCAAAGTACCAGTATTGTACCTATATATAGCTACACTAATTATATGCTTATTTGTTAATAGCTTATATTTATAAATAGCTGGTTCCCTACTGTGTTTCAGAGACAGGACAGTGTGTTTGTGTAGTTTCAGACTGTTATTAACTATCCTGAAACAACTGTTGCATATTGGTTACACACCCTACCCTCTAGATGCCTGGACCCGTACCTAAAATATGCGTGTAACTATGCCTAAAATTTGTTTAGATGGACAACTTGTTTAGATGGACATAACTTTACTGCACAACAGTTGTACAGGGTACACATTATGGCATCTACTTAGTACATATTAACTAAATTTTCATAAGGCTAACCTAACTAATACAATAAAGTAGGACCTGGTTGCTAGTATGGGATAGGTATGGACTTTTATAATCATTGGAGGAATTTCTAATATCTATACTGTAATATATATCCCTATGTATAGCATGCAGGGGTTGTCACAAGTCATTATTTGCTTTTCAAGTTTATTGTGGTAAATGCTTTTAAGTATAGGATCATAGTAAAAAAACTTTGCTCCCTACCTCCTGGTTTCATGCTGGTGTTAGGACTGACCATGACTCGAGGCGGTTGGCTGGACCGGATCGTCGGTTGGTGGTGCTGGATCAGGTGGGAATGCGACGTCCGGTGTTCCGCGTCCCCATCGTGGTGCGCCCGGCTTCGCGGCGTGCCACCATGTTGGTTCCTGAGAGAAATTTTGTGTAAGACGGCGAAGTTCACACTATCGCTGAAGTTCATGTTCACCCGGGATGTTTATAGTAGCAGCGACACAAAATAAAACGTTACATATGCCCCACGGCCCTTTGAAAACTGCCAAAGAGGCAATACGGAGCTTTGTCAGCCTTAATAAATACTCAATGTAAGTCAAAATTTTAGAAGTCACCCAATCAGTAAGTAGCATCTGAAGCTGAATTTAGATCAAATATCCTTCAATATCTAAATGACTAGACTAAACCACGCACAAAATGATCATCCTATTAAAAACAATAAAATATTTATGATAGGACGATATGTATATCTAAGCAACGGCTACAAAAAACACCCCCGAACAGCTTTAGGCCACACCAAGTAAATTTTATGGATGACGTCTTTGGAGACCCTAAATCTAATGCGAGAGGACGAAAAAAAAACAAGAAAGGCCCTGAAAATCAAGATGCCTAGATTAGAAATAAACTAAGAGACGACAAATGTTAGGACACAAATTGAATGAGGTGACACAGTGTAACAAGCAAGAATAGTCTTTTATTCATCATCAAAAAAGCAATGAATCAGGTGGAACAGCAGTTATCGTCCTGTCCTGTTTCTTTCATCACATTTTTGCAGGCCTGCAGAAACAAAGCGTGCTCTTTACCCATTTGGCGTTACGGGTCTCACCTAACGATTTGTGGCACTGTTGTGACTCTTTGGTCATAGTTACAGGAAGCGGAATTTCTTGTTTTCTTTTTCTAGGAACAGGCCAAAATCCATGCGCGCACGGACGTCATCCATAAAATTTACTTGGTGTGGCCTTATCTCAAAATAAATCATACTAGAAGGCAGGGAATCATTGTACAGGGCTTGTATTGTGGTTGGTCCAGACCCCCGCCCACTGTCCAAAGTTTTTCAGAAATGCCAATGAAGCTTGAAAGTATGTGATCGTTGGACAATGACAATGGATAATTATCTCGTGATGTTTTATGTCACAGCTAAATAGGAATGTCAATTTCATGAGCCTTAGCACTACAGCAAAACATTTAATACAATATATATTCTATCCAGAATACATGTCTTCACAAATGGGGTTCAGTTTCAAGAAGGCTTTCAATCATAATAAAAGGATTACATATTTGGACATGATGTTTTAGCCTGTTTTCAATAATGAAACATTGGGATATACCTGATATATCTGGGTTTTTTATCCAGAATTTTGAGATATACCTGAACGTTTTCTGACATATCTTAAGTTTCTACCAAGTGGGAAGCCTTACCTGGGGGTGGGGAAGGCTTACCTGGGGGTGGGGAGTGCAGGTACTGCTGCATGGGGGTGGGGCCATCAGTATCTCCTCGGAGTTGACGACCTTGACCGGTTCCGTCTGCTTCCTGCGATGGCTGGAGCGGCCGCCCTCAGGCGAGACTGACCCACTGGACATCGTTAGTCAACCTGGGGGGGGGGCAGGGGGATAGATGGATTATGATAAGTTTATTGCAAGTTCATGCTAATCGCAGGTTAAAGCAGGTTATCAGAAATACCTGCACAGCTTCAATTTTACCAAGTGTACTAACCTGCATACAGTACTGTATACCCAGTACATGGCCCAGTGCAGGTTAGGTGCAGGTAGACATCAGAAATACCTGCACAGCTCCAATTTTACCTGCACTTACCTGCATATACCCAGTACATGGACCAGTGCAGGTTAGGTACAGGTAGACATCAGAAACACCTGCACTAAGGTGCATTTGCAGTGTATATGGTATTCAACAGTCAAAATACTGGGTGCAGATTCTGCACCCACTGCCACCCAGTATTTTGACTCTTGAATAGTACCATATACAAATGTACTGTATAATCTATTGCAACAGATATATAGTATATATATTATTAACAGTCATAAAATACTATAACAGCTTTTTTGTAAATTGACCTGGTATGATGAATGATCCAAGATGATGATTTATTTATTTATGATTTATTTATTTATTTTTTAATAACGTCTATAACTCCTGCCTCATACTGACACTGTAATACATGTACCTGTACACACCTTAGACTACACAACCTCAATTCCATGGTTGACATACTTTGGAAATTTTCAGTGTAGGGCCCTAAATGTAATTTGTTGTTTCTCTGATTTGTTTGTAGATAAAATATGAAGTGACAGGGTGGAAAAAACAAGCCAAGGCCATGATAGCCCAAAATATCATGACAAGAGCCATGAAGTCAACATACCAGGCTGGGTTATAAGTCATACAATATTGTCTTAGAATTTTGAACTTTTCATGAAATCACTACAATGGTAAATGGAAAAATTTGGAAACAACTAGGGAGTCAAGGACTTTATTGAACCATTGGCACCAAAATAGGACCATTTTGGAGTTAACTAATTGATTCAAAACCTATTTTTTTGGTGGAAATCAGAAAAATGGGGTAGATATGAGAACAAATAATGGCCTTGACATCTTTTATTGTATACTTTTATTATTTCCTTTTCAACATTTTCAGGAAAATAAAGCAGCAAATCCAAGGTTATGAGCAGAAAAGAAAATATTAACCAATACATGCACACAGCAAAAGATATTTATTTTGTTTAGTTTTAAAAATAGCCTCCTTTTGATATTCTAATTTTCTCTTTTCTATAATATTGGCTCATTTATACACCGAGCCACATCATACATGTACCAAGCTTGTCATTTTGCCAAGTTACTGACAACAGTTTTTTCTGCAACCGCAAAAGATATAATGTCAATTGCTGGTTGGCATTTCGAGGTATATGTATATGGGTCTTAATTGATGTTTTGGCTAAGATTAAGTATTGTTTTCTCAGGTGAGAACAGACGTCAGGAAACTGTAGAAGAAAAACAAAATTAAAAACTGACACGTTATAGACTTCAAAAGAGAATTATTGAATGCCTCAGAGCAAAATGAATTAAAAGGGATAGTACAATCTTTGTGATTTAACAAAAACTAAGAACTATTTTCTGTACAGAGTTTGCATTTCCTATGTGTATTGTTCACCATGGATGTCTAACCTTCATCAATGTACATGTATTTTCTGTACTGTTAATCTGTACAAGGTACAAGTGACAACCTCTTGGTCCTTTAGATAATTTTTCCCATTGACCTACTGACTATTAGCATTAAGAATCCTGTCTAAAGTGACCATCTGTCCACATAGAATGCAATTTATATGAATGAATGAATGACAACCTCTATTGCACATTTTTGCCACTTAGTACACTGGGCTAAGTACAGGTCAAAACAAAATGTGATGAACACAGATCGTAATATACAAAATAAAACTAGCTATTTTACATAAATTCAACTTCTCGATCGGTTTTCAGTTATAGTAGAGATAAAGGAACAGATATGTTTTTGATGGAAAGTTTGTCTAGCAGCAGTAAGAATATGAACTTTTTTACAGTGCTCAATGTATGAAGTAAGGAAAATTATAGGTTCTGTACAAACCTATACAGTGTATAGGCCCCATGCTCAACCCTAGGCCTCTGGTCTTGGTGGGCTGAGGTTTGACTACAGTGTATGTGTTAATTAATCCTTCTCCCCATGTTTAACCAGCCTAAGAGACTCGCACAACAATCTCCACCACCCATGGCCGCCTCTACCGTCAACAGGATCCACAAACAAAGGGCTAATCTCCGGCCAGAACAGAGGGGCTCAGGCATTGTTTCTTAATCCGATGGATTACGGCCCAGGCGGCATGTAAGCCCCAGTTAATTAGTACCCAGCCAACAGGGAGGCTGTAAAGTAGGCGGCACAGCGGAATATAACAGCCAACAGGGTGGTTGAGAAGTAGGGCTTGAAATCAAATGTGGTCCAATGGCCACTGACCATTAAAAGTTAGGCTGGGAACAACCAAAAAGACACTTTGGGACATTTTTCAGACTGTCAGCCCTTCTTTTGTTTATCAGGCACACGTCCTGGCTTTTGGATCCGGGGAAAAGTCCTCCCGAATTTCCTGTCTACTCTGCAATTATAGTGCGCCATAAGCTAAATAAAGTTGACTTAAAGTTAAAGTCATATAGCCTGATTAAGTCGCTTTACAGTTGCCGGCCGCCCAACGCCCAGCCGGCTTCCTGCGGGGAGGGGCCAGTAAAGCCGCGGACGGCAGAGTTTGCGATATACAGACTAGAAGTCATACTTCCCCAAAACAGGTTGGGACAATTGAAATCCTCACTTTGCGACAATTGAAATTTATTTTTGGGAAAGTGCTGAGACAACAGGAAGAAGACTTAATTTCGAGGCCTGGCGAAAGAGAGTTGAAATCTTGACTTTGGGACAATTGAAATTTATTTTTGGGACAGTGTTTGTTTGTTTGTTTGTTTATTAGATCTCCATTAGATTTACATGAAATCTATTCTTCCTGGAGTCACAAAATTACAATGAAACAAATGTACAGAACAGAACAAAACAAATGTACATGAAAGTAAAACCAACATAACAAAAGGTGTGAGTCTTAATAAAAATAACATAACGCACACAACATTAACTGAAATCTGAACTTAAGTGAACGGGGAGAGGTCAGAGGTCATGGATGATTAATGTAACAAAAACTGTTACAAAAAGAGGTTGCAAAACTGCAAACCATAAACAGTAGTAAATCAACAAGTGGGTGCAGAACTGCAAATCATAATAATGATAAGTAAATAACAAGTGGATGCAGAACTGCAAATCATAATAACAATAAGTAAATAACAAAGTGGATGCAGAACTGCAAATCATAATAACAATAAGTAAATAACAAATTGGATGCAGAACAGCTATCATAATAACAATAAATAAATAAGTGGATGCAGAACTGCAAATCATAATAATCAGTGCTGAGACAACAGGAAGAAGAAAACTTAATTTTGAGACCTGGCAACTATGAAGTAGGTGGCACGGCGGTATTATGAGTCAGAGATGATACACGGCTATGAGGGGCTGAACTGACAGACGAGATTAGCGTCACGCTGTCCTCCTAAACCCGGCTGATCGACGCGTACGTCTGACGTTGTGACGTTCCTAATTGGCGCTGTCGCTGATTAATGTCGTTACAGCGCGGGATTAATTATTTTTGTCTTAATAAGACACTCGTGTTAAAGTGGGATTGGTGCGTGTGTGAGGGGCGTAAGCTGCACTAATTTGTCACAACACTAATGTTTATGAACGTGGGTTATATGCCAGGATGTGTTTTAATAATCATCGTTACGCTATCTTTAGATGATTAATATAAGGCAACGTAAACTTGATTTTATGGGCACCGATTCCCCCAGAGAGATTTTCCCTGTTTTTTTAATGATTGTTTCTGGGAAAAGCTTGACAATTGTTGATACAACTCAAATTTGAAAAGAACACAGATTCAGAAAACTCATAAAATCAAATCAAGTCTTAGAATAATTAAGGCATCTCAGTAATTAAATCTATGACAGGAATAAAGACATTGTAAATATATGCATTTATTATGTTGAATAATATTGAGCATGCTTTATCAAATGGCTAAAATTTGTACATGCACTAGGTTACAGTGACTGTAGAAAATTCAATGCTTGAAGGGTTTCCAAAGTTGAGAATTCGAATTCAGTTTTTATGTTGACTTTCTAGAAATTTCGAGTGACCATGCAGTGTTACAATGGCAGAAGGAATTGGCGTTGCATGTCTATCGTAGGAGAGAACATGTGGCAAAGGCTTCGCAACGTGACATTTTCAAGAAACCTTCATAACAAGTGACTTTTGAACCATCCTCCCAACAGGAGTTCTCTAAAACTGTCAAGATACTTTCTCACTTTTCAACCATATCGAGGGACACTGTTTCAAAACTCCAAGCCTTCGAGGCAGGGGGGCATGTAAGCGCACCCCCTGCATGCGAAATGCGCCGAAATATCTACTATCCGAAGAATTCTGTGTCAGAGGTGTCTTAATCGGACTTACGCAGGAGGTGTAATTTATTACCTAATTGCCACGAGTTTTACTGCCCAGAAAAATTGGCCCCATTCGTCAACCGACTTTTCACGGCGGCGCTCGGCTTCCCCCGGACTTCATCAAAGGCGGCTCCCGGGGGTTCCCGGGCTGACAAACGACGCGTTTCCGACAAGCGCCGGCATTATCACTCGGCCATGATGTTGCGAGTGTTGGGGAATCCGTAATCGCCGCTCGCCGCTAGATTAAGCATGGTGTGTGGACATTTCTCTGGCAGTGGCGTCGTGCAATCTATCCCCTAATTACGGCGCGCTGCCAGGCTCCATAAACTCCCAACTGTGCTCGCTGTCATAAATCCTGCCTTATTACACATTGAGGGACTGCCAGGAGGGATGAATAGGTGGTCAGAAGCCCATCTAGATGGATCGAGTTCATTGTCATGTATGACTACCCTATGGCACACGCCATCGACTAGTTTCAAAAACCCCCGGAGTAATGACTTGTCTTGAAAACGGTGATAACAGAACGCC